TTTCTGCAGAAAGGCTGCTTAGCTAGTTGGTACCCATTCTGTCCTTAGGAGAGCACATGCCCATGCATAAGTGCTGGACTTCATACTTGTCATTATTAAACCTCATTAGATTTCTTTTGGTCCAATCCTCTAATTTCTCTAGGTCTCTCTGAATTCTAGCCCTACTCTGCAGCATATCTATTAATCCCACAAGTTTGATGCCATCTGCAAACTTGTTGAGGATGCACTCCATCCCGTCTTCCAGATTGTTGATGAAGATATTAAACAAAACTAGCTCCAGGAGCAAAGCTGGGGCAACCTATTTGATGCCAACTGCCAACTAGACATGAAGCCATTTATTACTACCCTCTGAGCCCAACAATCCAGCCAGGTTTCTATCTACCTTATAGTCCATCTGTCCAACCCATACTTTTTTACCTTGCTTGTGAGAACATTGTGGAGGAAAGTATGAAAAGCCTTACTAAAGTCAAGGTATATTATATCTACTGCTCCTCCTGTGTTTACAAAGCCAGTCATCTCATCATAGAAGGCAATCAAGTTGGTCAGGCATGACTTGCCCTTGGTGAATCCATACTAACTGTTCTTATTCATCTTCTTCTCATCCAAGTGCTTAGAAATGTATTGCCTGAGGACCTGCTCCATGACTTTTCCAGGGACTGAGGTGAGGCTGACCAGTCTGTGGTTCATGCTTTCCTTGACACCTTCTTGGATGTCAGCTTGCATAGAATCCATCATGGGTCAGCTTTGTAGATTTAAAAAAAAATCCTCCTCGCCACTTATACTAAAATTTTTCAGTCTGCCTGCTTCCTTTCATGGCAGATGAGGCAAATTATTTTTTTTACCTGCTGCCACTCACAAACACAGGCTTCATCTCTAGGGTCTTGCCTTCCAGAATGTTTTCCATGTTGTAAAGCATAGTTTACAACCTAGCTTAAATTCGGTTGAAAAACTTCAACTCATGACTTTGTTGGAGCCACTTACATTTTGTTTCCAGTGGTCAAGTACAGTTAGCATCTGTGCCACTCCCTCCACTCCAGGTTTCCCAGGCTGCTGAATCTTCAGCTATTCTATCCTGCAGACATCTCTTCACTCCCTGTGCTCTACAGTAAAAAAAAAAACAAACAAACAATCTACCTAATGAAGTATACTTCATATTACCTAAACATGTGTATAGCTGGTGGTGTTCAGATAAGTGTTTTTGAAAGATAACCCTCAGATTATATGCACATAAATATGGTAGGATGTTGCTGTTTTTCAGTAGCTGGCATGCATGCTGAAGTTTAAGTGAGATGGGTGTGTGTGTGTCTGACTGCTACGCTTAACACTACAAAAGTGATTGGATTTTAGCCACCTACCAAACACTGTTTTTGGTTTTGTGGGAATATGAGACAAGACCACTACTAGAGTGAAGGGAGATTTACTTCAGCACTGAAAGAATTAGTTATGCTTTCTCCCCTTTTTTGGAACAGAATTGAACATTGTAATTTGCTCAGAATGACTTTCAGTAATAAAACTTTTTAAAATTTATTCTTAGCATCACTATGGGGAACTAATCCTGGTATTATTCGCATCTTTTCTAATGAAGCCACAGCAGAGTTTGCTACAGACTATTCTGAAAATTACAGTGGCTTTAATGCAACGTACAGCATATTTAATACAAGTGAGCTAAGCAGTAAGTATTCTTTTTCATTTCTTATTCACAAAGTTTGATGAATCTATATTTTCAGCTTCATGAAGAGAGAAAATTGAGATGAGGAAAGCATTTGATTGACCTTGATCCTGTAACTAGGTCAATGTGGGAGAACCTTTGTAATTCTTCAAAGCTCCATTGACTGCATCAGGAGCCTGCTTCCTGCCTTGGCATGTGGAGATCTTGTTGAGCTGTGAAGAATCAGCAAAGTTTTTAATCAAGGGGACTAAAGTCCTTGAAGTTGGTGTTCTCAGTACTGCAGTACTGAACTATAAAGCAAACATATACACCATCTTGTCTCTAATAATGTTGCCGTTGACAGAAGTGAATCCAAAATATCTGTGTGCTCTAGTCTCTAGTCTTCCCAGGTACTTTTCAGCATTAATGCTCCTGTTTTTGCTTAGTAAAGCTGAGCTAGACATACCTGATGAAAAACATTTTACTTATCTACTAACCTTATTCACAGATAATGAGAAAATTAACTGCAATTTTGAAGATGGCTTTTGCTATTGGACTCAGACATTCAAAGATGATGGTGAATGGGAGAGAATCAGTGGACTTACCTTTCCTTTAATGACTGGTCCTAATTTTGACCATACATTTGGGAACCTATCAGGTACAAATAACTATGTAACACTGACAGATAAGTTTCCTTGGGTAAATGTGATGTCTTTTATTAGATCTATGTCCTTATACAACACAGCTGCAACCAACACTGGTATATTAAAAGGAAAACCATCCTTTTTTAATACAAGTCAAAATATACATTAAAAAAATTGGTAATCTGGGGGGAAATTCATCCTGTTTTGGAAGGAATGAGGTATTATATTCAGATGTTGTGCCAAAAGTCCTGTAAATTAAAGTTTTAGAAAACTTATTTTTAATTGTGTAATCTGTCCAGTTTAAGAAACACACTTGTATAATTGTTTGAAATATTAAGTATCGAAGGGATTAAATAATATTACCATTGATATGATTTACTATTATCTTGCTCCTTAAGATATTTATCTGTAAAAACTTTCATGAAAGAAGGGTCACGGATCACGCAACAGATTTACTGCAGACATTTGTCCATAACTTTAAAGAATGATATATACATATAAAATGCAGTATGGTTTGCATAAAGCGTTCTCAGGTTTGTTACGAAGGAACCTGCAAACATCTTAATATTGACTTAGTTTGTGCATACACCCCAAAAGTCACAGCCCCTCCCCTCCTACTCATTACATGTAATGCAGAACTGGTTAATTGCATAATTATTTTAGAACAGCTGCAAATGCAAAGCAATGATCATGCCATAAAAAGGTCCATCCACCTATAAAGTTAGACTTAAAAAATGTTCACTAACTTTATAGCTTTAATTTGCACATGTAGCAGGGTCTCTCCCTGTGGCTGGGAGCCCCAACAGCTAATGTGGCTCCTAGCTCCAGGGGTGCATCATGTGCACTGGAGCCAGAAGTCCCACAGCTGAGGGGACTCTACAACCTGGAAGAGCTGTGGGGTGCATAGAGTACCCTGCAAGCTGTGGGAATCTCAGTTTTGGCAGCCATGGGGCACTGCCAGGACCAAGAGTCCTCAGCTGTGCGACTCCTTGTCCTGGAAGCCATGGGGCACTGCCACAGCTGCAAGTTCAATCAGCTGAAGGACTCTCAATAAGGCGTGATAAGATATGACACTGGATCCCACAGTCATGCCTCCTGTCATGCATGTGTGGTATTGCAAGAGGCATGATTGTGTGGATTGCATACCAGATCCTATCACGCTTCTGCCTGAATATCCAGAAGGGCCCACACAGATGCCTTTACTTACCATGCCTAAATCAAATTTCACAACCCTCCCCATAACTGCTGTAACAAAGTAATTTCATAAAAAGTTCCTTTTAAAGAAATGGAGAGTATTTTGAATTTGTGAATCTTCATGAATTATGAATGGCAGTGCTCCAACACTGATTCTAAAGTTTTAATGCTAGGATCAAAAGTATCCTCATGCTATCTGTCAATGCAGTCAGAACTTAACATACATGGTTTCTGTTCCACATTGAATATTGTGTTAGATTAAGGATTAAAACATGTATTCAGGGAAGATTTAGAAATTGGAGAAGATTAGGATCTGTGCAAGGACAAAATACTTACCGAAAAAGGATAAAGTAGCTAATAAATTAATATTTGGCATACAATAGTCATATGGCACTAAAGTGAATGTACAATCCCAAAACGGTCTTGAAAAGATTATCTTATTTTCAGCCTCAACTCCTGCAATACAAATCTGTTGAAGGAACATTACATTCATTTAATAAAACACCTGGCAATGATTTTTGGAGCTATTGAAATTTTTCATTTATTCCCAACATTTTCTGTTTAACTGCACTGCTTAAGCTGACAGTCCTATATGCGGTGTTGCTATTATTTCAACATTCAAATTTCTACTGTCAGTTTGATATAAACCTATATGCTGACATCATTAATATATAGATATTGAACGTGTTCAGTAAGACTGGCTATTTT